TGCTGGTATGCAAAAAAAATTAGATGTTTCCTAAAGTAAACCAAGCAGTAAGTCACAAGCCTGTCTCGGTTCCACATCTAAATTACTCTGCAGTCCAACTCTAATCATCTGTTAGTTCTCTTATTTCTCTGTTCAATTTTGTCTGACTGACCTGTCTAGTCATGAGAAAGGAGTGTTGAAGTCTCCCAGTATTTGTGTGTGGGGTTTAATGTATGATTTAAGCTTTATATGTGTTTCTTTTACATATGAGGGTGCTCTTGTATTTGGGGCATAGATGTTCAGTATTGAAATTTCCTTTTTATGGATTTTTCTTGTGACTAATATGAAATGTCCTTCTTTGTCTCCTTTGATTTTAGTTTGAAGTCTATTTTGTTAGAAATTAGGATAGCTACACCTGCTTGTTTCTGAGGTCCATTTGATTGGTATATTTTTTTCCCAACACTTTTATTCTAATATGATGTCTGTCTTTGAGGTTCAGGTGTGTTTCTTGTATGCAGGAGAAGGATGGATTCTATTTTCATATCCAATCTATTAGCCTGTGTCATTTTATAGGTGAGTTAAGTCCATTTATATTAAGGGATATTAATGACCAGGGATTGCTATCTCCTGTTATTTTAGTTTTCCTTTTCACTGATGTTAATTTGTGTGCTTTTCTCTTCTTTGGGGTTTGTTGCTATGTGACCATCAATTGCGTTTTTGTTGGTGTAGCCAACTTCTTTTGGTTGGAGTTTTTCTTCTAATATTTTGTGTATGGCTGGGTTTGTGGCTAGGTATTGGTGAAATCTAGATTTTGTTATGGAATATCTTATCTTGTCCTTCTATGGTGATTGAAAATCTTGCTGGGTATCGTAGTCTAGATTGGATTTGCTCCTGGCTTCTGTTCCCGGTATAGCTTGTTCCCTCTCTGTTTTAGGTAGTTGGTTCAGTCCCACTCTGGTTCTGGTGGAGAATGCTGACTCTGAGTCAGGTCTTTAGCTTAGTCCTGGTCCACCAGTGTCCCAGGACTGGATTTGCTCCTGGCTCCTGCTTTCATTGCAGCTTGTTTCCTCAGGCCCTGTCTGTCCTAGGTGGCTAGTTCAGTCACATGCCTGTGGAATTGGTTGCCCAAGGTGGAGTTCCTTGACTCAGGGCAAATTTGGCCTAGGTTACTGGCTTTGACCTGTATCTGTAAATTCTGGTCTGGATTCCCTACCGCAGAAGTCCCTGGGTTGGAGTTGGACCTAGAATGGTTTCTGGCTCTGGTCTACTGCCTCAGATGTCCCAGCCTTGGGTGCACCCAGATCCGCAGAGGACCTGCTTACTCCCTCAGAGGTTCCAGACTCATGCTTGAACCCACAGAGTTTCCAGGTATCTGCCTATTCCCTTTGACATCCCATACCAATGCCTGGACCCACAGAGGTCCTGGCTCAGGCCTACTCCCTCTGAGGTCCCAGACTCACACCTGGTCTGCTGAGATCCCTGGTTCCTCAGAGGTTCCAGGTTCACTCACACCCAGACTGGCAGAGATCCTGGCTCAGGCCTAGTTTCTGGAGGTCCTAAACTCATGCCCAGACCCACCGGGATCCTGGCTTAGGTCTACTTCCTTAAAGGTCCCAGATTCACATCAGAACCCTCAGTGGTCTCTGGCTCTGGCTCACTTGCTCAGCAGTTACTCCCCTGTACCTGTTCCAGTGGAGATTTCTGACTCTGGATCTTATTTCTGGCTCAGTCCTAATCTGCCAGTGTCCCGGGACGGGGTTCACTCCCAGGACTGGATTTGCTCTTTGTTTCTTTTCTTTATTGCCTCTATTTCAGTCTTCAAGTCTTTAACTATTTTAATTGTTTGCTTTACATGTTTGATTGTCTTTTCTTGGGTTTAGGAGATTTATTGATTTTTCCATTTTATTATCTGTTTCACCATTTCTTTAAGGGAGTTTTTTATTTCCTCTTTAAAGGTCTCCATCATACTTACAATGTTACATTTAAAATTGTTTTCTTCTGCTTCTTCTGTATTAGGTTGAGCTAGTCTTCCTGTTGTATGACCACTGCATTCTGGTGTTACCATGTTGCTTTTTAGGTTGTTGAATGAATTCTTGCATTGGTGTCTACCTATCTCTTTCTCCATTTGGTGCCAGCAGTGTTTTTGCCTCTTGGTCTAATCCTTGCAATTGCTGTCTGTGTCTTTGGGAGCTGTTCTTGGTCTGCACTGTACTGTTGCTGTCTGTGTATCAGGGAGCTGAGGTCTACCTTGGCCTGCTCTCTTGGTCCACTGTGAAGTCACAACCTGTGCTTCAGAGTTCCTCTTTTGGTCCTCTCGGTGTAGCTGCAGTCTGTGTTCCAGAGTTTCTCTGAGTTATCATTGGGGATAGGAAGGTTTAGGGTCAGAGTGGCACTTGTAGCTTGCAGGGTCTGATGGGTGCTGTGGGGGAGTTGGAGCAGTGTACCTGCAGGAAGCTTGCTTGCTGCATAGCTAAAGAAGCTGTGGCAGGTGGGAAAGGGGCCTGGGGTTTTGCTCAGAAGGGCCTAGAGAGTGAGTTGCCCTGCTTTGTGGGTGATCACTTACCTTGTGGTCCTCTTTATGTTGTTGCAGCCTGTGTTTCAGAATTCCTCTGAGGTTGGGGTTGGGATAGGAGGGTTTTAGAGCAGAGTTGAGCTTGTAGCTTACAGGGTCTGATGGGTGGATTGGGGGTGTTGGAGCAGCCTGCCTGAGGAAGCTTGGCTAGAGAAGCTGAGGCAAGTGGGGGAGGGCCCCAGGTTTTGCCCCAGTATGGAGAGCCTAGAGAGGGAGGTGTCCAGCTGGGTAGGTGATCACTCACTTCTTGGTCCTTTGGGTGACTTTGGACTTTTAAACAGAGTTCAGTTTGATAAACTGGGAATTTGATGTTGGACTGGATGCATTTCTGCATTATGCTATGGCTACAAGTCTATGGGGCCCAGGGAGTATAATGGGATAGTTTGAATGGAAATAGTCCCTATATAGGCTCATAGATAGTGGTACTGTTAAGAGTGCCACTTGTTGGAGTAGGTGTCATCTTGTTGAAAGAAGTGTGGTACTAGGGTCAAACTTTGAGGTTTCAGAAACTCAAGCCAGGCCCAGTGTTATTCTCTCTTCTTGCTTCCTGATGATCCTGATACAGAACTCTCAGCTCCTTCTCCAGCACCATGTCTGCCTGCATGTAGTCATGCTTCCTACCATGGTGAACTGAAAGCCATTCACAAGTACATGTTTTCCTTCATAAGAGTTGCTGTGGTAATGCTGTCTCTTCACAGCAATAGAAGCCCTGATTCCTCTGGGCTACACCCTGGAAGAAGCTACCTCTTCTGCTCTCAGAAGTCATTAGTGGCCCACAATTCTTTGTCTAGTGGTGGAAGTCTGAAATATCTCCCTTCTGCATTAGCATGCCCACTGATATTAACACTGTTCTGGACTTGTTTATGCAACAATGATGTGGGACTCCCCTCTGTATGCTGTGAATACCATTGGTTAATAAAGAATCTGCCTTGGCCTGTGATAGGATAGAGTAGAACCAGGCAGGGAAAACTAAACTGAATGCTGTAAAAGAGAAGGCAGAATTAGAGTGAAGCCATGTATCCCTACTGGGGACAGACACTAAAACTTTACCCAGTAAGCTACAACCTCATGGTGACACACTGATTAATGGAGATGAGTTAATTTAAAATATGAGTTAGTCAGAAATATGCTTAAACCATTGACCAAACAGTATTGCAAATAATATGGTTTCCATGTGATTATTTTGTGGGCTGAGCAGCCTGGAACAAGCAAGTGGCCTCCCACAAAAAAAATTGGCACACCAACATGGTTTGAAACATTTGGAGCTGATACCTGCCACCCACGTCGGGTCCAGATGCTTAGATGCCCACTTGGGGTCGGTCGGAAACTACCTGAGACCATGACCAATGGCTCAGCACTTCCCACGGGCAGGTGGCAGAATCAGGTCTGATAGGCATACACAGGTAGGAGAGTGTGGCAGATTCCCATTGCCATACATACAGATGTATGTGTTGCATGGCAGATTTAGCTTTTACTGATAAAAAGAGTTTATATGCTGCATGGTGCTTCCCAGAGTTGAGGTGGTGAGGCTGTCTCCCAGTGGCATCCTCAGAGGCAGCAAACATGCTTCTTCCATGTTGGATTTGGTGGCAGAGCCAAAAAAAAAAAAAAAAAAAAAAAAAAAAAGAAAAAAAAAAGAAAAAGAAAAACATGCTTCTGGTCAGAAAATAATTACAGATACACAAAAGGACAGATTCAGACATCAAAGTCCGCTAAATAAGCCATGGCATATTTAAAAAATATACGTAGGCTTGGGAGATAGAAGAAAAAGAGTAAAGAGACAATAAATGTAATATAAAAGAGTACAGACAGTCATAGATTAAAGGAGTAAAGATAATAAAGTAAATATTAAACTTGTAGAAAAAGTAATAGAGTAAGAAAAATGAACCAAATAAAGATGGAAAATATACAGAGAGTGTGGATAATGTATATTATTGTGTTTTCTTTGAATTTTTTGACTGTGAAGGAGCTAGGTACAGAGAGACATATCATTGTATGGACTGATAAACTAAACCAGGTATATATATTTGAAAGGTAGCTTGATTCCAAAATGTGGGTCTAAGGCTTTGTTGCTTTGGAAAAGAGGTTCTCTTTTTTGTTCCCACAGAAGATGAGAATTTGTAGATTAATTCTAGGCTAATGTGGTTTGATGAACCAAGATCCCCCAAAAGGTTGCTGTAAAGACTTACTTTACCCAACAAAAGCAGGAAGCAGTTTGGAGACAACTACGCCCAAGTTCTCAAATATTGTTTATAAATGTTTGTTTAAATTTAAAGGGGGACAGGCTATAGAGATTTGCATTGGTATGGATCTTGGTTTATGGATACAAATTTAATATCAATCTTATTATATGTATATTTGTGCTATTGATTAAGGTATTGTGATTGTGTAGTTCATTTAAAAATGTAATGTATAGAGCATCTGGATGATGTACTGCTGAGTGCCTGCCATGGGGTCTTAGGGTCTGGCTCGACTGCCCGGGCTCTTCGCCGTCTATAAACCTCCTGGGTTGAAATGGCTGCACTTGCGGGAGACAGTGGAGCTGCAACTGCTGAAAGGTCTCAATGCAGCAAAGCCTCCGGCTCCTGAGCAGCGTGTTCGCTTCTTGCTAGGCCCCGTGGAAGGCAGTGAAGAGAAGAAGTTGACTCTCACGGCCGCGAGTGTGCCCACCCTCTCCACCCACAGACTCGTACGTGGCCCAGCGTTTACCAGCCTGAAGATTGGTGTTGGACATCGCTTGGATTTCCAGGCTTCTGGTGTGCCGGTGCTCGCCATGGGACATGGATGCAGACTTCTCACCAACATGTATGATGCTCACCTCACCAAGGCTTACACAGTGCGCGGCCACCTAGGCAAGGCTACAGACAACTTCTGTGAAGATGGGCGGCTGATAGAAAAGACCACATATGACCATGTGACCAGAGAACACTTGGACCGGATCCTGGCTGTAATCCAAGGCTCCCACCAGAAGGCACTGGTGATGTACTCCAACCTGGACCTGAAGTCCCAGGAGGCCTATGAGATGGCTGTGCAAGGTGTGATCCGGCCCATGAAAAAGTCCCCGATGCTCATCTGTGGCATCTGCTGCCTGCACTTTGCACCTCCTGAGTTTCTCTTAAGAGGTACAGTGTATGCACGAGACGCAGCAGCAGCTGAGGAAGCTGGTGCATGAAATCGGCCTGGAGCTGAAGAGCACTGCTGTCTGCGTGCAAGTGCGGCGCACTCGGGATGGCTTCTTCATGCTGGACGATGCCCTCCTGAGAACCCAGTGGGACCTACACAGCATCCAGGATGCCATCCAGGCTGCAGCCCCCCGGGTGGCAGCAGAGCTGAAAAAGAACTTGAGACTAAGCCTGGGCCACTGGTAGCTCCCCAGTGCTGGGCAGCCTTGGGGCTTCGAGGACCCAGACTCCGCTTTGGAGGTAGAAAGTTATGCAGGGCAGGGAATGCCCAGACGTAGGTGGGCAGAGACAAAGGCTCTTTACAGGACAGAGCTGATGACTTTGCAGAGAGTGGCATTAAGGGCCTGAGCAGTGCCCACACCTGCCATGCCAGAGAAACACAAAGGGGAAAGGGGATCCATTTACTTGAGACACAGACTGACTGCAGAGATAGTCTGGCTGTGGTGGCCGGACCATCCTCTTGGCTATTTGGGAAGCTCAGACTAGAATCTTTACAGTTCAATGCCAGCCTAGGGTTACACAGAGAAACCCTGTCTCAAAAATCAAAGCAGAGTCAGGTGTGATGACTCTGACCAGGAGTTCAAGGCCATCCTTGGCCATGTAGTGAGTTTCAGGCCAGTCTGTGCTGCTTCCAGTGTTTAGCTTTTTGGAGAGCTGGGCAGTGTCACCTCAACACCTAATGCCTGCTGGTGATTTATCCAGCTATGACTGATGCTGGGATGTGTTATCCCCTAGGGAAAAATCTTCACTGTTGCAGGGTGGTGTCTCACACCTGTGATCTCAGTACTACTCAGCGTTTGGCACCAGCCTGGACCACTCTTTCTGGAGTCCTTTGTAGTCAGTATTTAATCCTGCAGGAGGCTCAGGAATTCAAGGTCATTTTGGTTACATAATGAGTTCTAGGCTACATGAAACCCATCTCCAAAATAAAAAGCCCAAAATTACTTTGAAAAAAAAATATAATGTATAATTAAGAAATATAGGTTAATAGATAATCATCTATAATAGTCAAGCTTGTAGTCATGTTAGTTAGGTTTTCTATTTTATTTTATTTAGATAATCTTCTAATATATATTTTATTTAGATAATCTTCAAACCTTTCAAAGACCTGAGGAATATGGCATTTAAAATGTTTTAAGAACTTAGGACTTTTCATGATATGAGACATATCTGCTCCTGGCAGCACCAACTACTTCAAGAGGATGATGGGCATTGAAGTGGCTCCTTATGGAGTTTGTTGGCTATTTGGTCAAGAAACTGCTTTTGCCTGGACTGCTTGATGTTATACTATGTGAGGACATAGCAGGACCCACAGAGAGATGACTGTTGAACTTGCCTAAAGATGAGATGATCCTTTGCGGTTCCTACTTCATGGAAGAGTTTGCCAGGCATTCTGCAGGACTCAGAAGAAAGTGACTGACAAACTGCTAATATAGGCTGTACTATGTTTGTAATTTCCTGCTTTGTGGAGAAGTTTGCTGGATACTATGGACTTGTAGGCTGAAGATGGATGCTCCAAGTATACAGAAGAACTTTGGGTGACTGTCCAAACAGTAGGATGTCTCTGTCAATTCTAGAGTTTTGGAAGTTGCTTACAATGCACTTGCTATTTACTTGGGTAATATTATATCCTTCTGAAGTCTTTTATGGGGTTGAAGAATAGATAGTTATGATTATAGTTTTCCTTAGTTAGAATAGATAGTTATAATAAAAGATAAAGAAGATATAAAATTGTAACTGTAATTCTTGCTTGATAGCTGTTTGTTATATGTAATTTTACTATGTTAAAGTTAAAAACTTCCTTTTTATTTAAACAGAAAGGAGAGATGATGTGGGATTCCCCTCTGTATGCTGTGAATACCATTGGTTAATAAAGAATTTGCCTTTGCCTGTGATAGGATAGAGTAGAGCTAGGTGAGGAAAACTAAATTGAATGCTAGGAAAAAGAAGGTGTAGTCAGAGAAAAGCCATGTATCCATGCTGGAGACAGACACCAATATTTTACCCAGTAAGCCACAGTCTCTTGGTGATACACAGATTCATGGGGGTTAATTTAAGATATGAATTAGTCAGAAATATGCTTAAGCTATTGGCCAAATAGTATTGCAAATAATATGGTTTCTGTGTGATTATTTTGTGAGCTGACAGCCGGGAACAAACAAGCAGCCTAACACATCACAATTGTTTCTAGGAAAGACAGTTTCATAGCAGACTTCTTAATATTATAGTTTTTTTGTCCCCTCTTTTGGTGGTTTGAATAGGTATGGCCCTCATAGACTCATATGTTTGAATGCTTGGCCTATAGAGTGGCAATACAAGGAAGTGTGGCCTTGTTAGAGTAGGTATAGTCTTGGTGGAGGAAGTGTGTCACTGTAGAGGTGGCCTTTGAGATCTTATATGTTCAAGCTATACTTGTGTGGACACACAGTTCACTTCCTGTTGCCTGCAGGTAAAGATGTAGAGCTTTCATCTCCTTCCCAGTATCATGTCTCCCTGAATGCCACCCTACATGCTGATATTAGACTAAAGCTCTGAACTGTAAGCCAGCCTCAATTAAATATTTTTCTTTATAAGAGTTGCCACAGTCATGGTGTCTATTCACAGCAATAGAAACCCTAATGAAGACACCCCTCTTCCACTATACTCCCCTGAATATCAGAAATGACAGTGCCACAGGATGGCTTCCAGGGACAGAGGCAGGTGTGGTTTGGAATACCCTGCATCTATGTAATGAACTGTGTTTTTTGTAAATGGCAGAGTGTATGAGACAAGCTGTGTTTGCTGTCAATAGAAGAGCTAGAGAATGGACCTACACAAACTTTTTGGAGCTAGGAAACTACACAGTGAGTGAGTCCCAGATGCTGAACATGAAGCTACACGATTTGTATCCATACTTCCATATTTTTAGTTTATTTTGCTATTTTTCAATTTTTTCATTTTGGAATAAGATATATATTGTTTGTTCATTATTTTACAAGACCTCAGAATTAAAAGACTTCTGATTTTTTTCCTAATTTAAAAGATTTTTTTCATTTTACATACCAGCCACAGTACTTTTTCCCTCCCCTCCTCCTGCTCACTCTACCTTCTCCCCTCATCTACTCTCAGCAAGGGTAAGGCCTCACACTGGGAGTCAACAAAGTCTGGCATATCAAGTTGAGGCTGCATCTAAGCTGAGCAAAGTATCTCTCCATAGTGAATGGGCTTTAAAAAACCAGTTCATGCACTATGAATAACTGCTGGTCTTACTGCCAGTGGCTCCCAGACTACCCAACTCACAGAACTGTCACCCACAGTCAGAGGGCCTAGTTTGGTCTTATGCAGGTTCCCCAGCTGTCAGTCTAGAATTAGTGAGGTCCCACTAGTTTATGACAGCTGTCTCTGTGGATTTCCCTATCATAATCTTGACATACCTTTCTTCATATAATCCTTCCTACCTCTCTTTGACTGGACTCAGGATTTCTGCTCAATGCTTAGCCATGAATCTCTATATCTGCTTCCATCAGGTGCTGGATGAAAGTTCTATGATAACAATTAGGGTGGTCATCAATCTGATTACAAAGGAAGGCCAGTTCAGGTACCTTCTCTGCTATGTCTTGGAGTCTTAGTTGGTGTCATCCTTGTGAATTCCCAGGAATTTCCCACAGAATTAAGCAGGGAAAACTAAACTGAATGCTGAGAGAAAGAAGGCAGGAGTTAGTGAGAAGTCATGTAGTCCCACTGGAGACAAATGCTGGAATTTTACCTGGCAAGCCACAGCTACATGATACACAGATTAAGAGAAATGGGTTAAATTAAGATGTAAGAGTTAGCCAATAAGAAGTAGAGCTAATGGGCCAAGCAGTGATTTAATTAATACAGTTTCTGTGTGGTTATGTCGAGTTTGAGCAGCTGTGTACAAATAAGCAGCCTCCTACAACAGGTAGTCATCAATCTGATTACAGGAGAAGGCCAGTTCAGGCAACTTCTCCACTATTGCTTGGAGTCTTAGCTGGTGTCATCCTTGTGGATTCCTGGGAATTTCCCTAGCACCAATTTTTTTTCTAACCCCATAATGATTCCCTCTATCAATAGATCTCTTCCCTTGTTCTCACTCTCCATCTCTCCCCAAACTTAACCGTCCCTTTCCTTCCTGTTTCTTCATATCCTTCTTCCTTCCTTCCTCTTCCCCCTACCTCATTCCCCCGTGTATTCCTAATTTACTCAGGTGATTTTTTTTCTATTTCACTTTCCCTGTGGGCTTTCATGCATGTTTTTCTTAAGATTCTCCTTGTTATCTAGCTTCTCAGGGGTTGTAGGCTCTTCTCTCAGATGGAGACTTTTGTTTTTTAAAAAGTTCTTGTATTTTTAATTGTTTAAAAATTTCAAGAATGTGAGACTTTAAAATTTTGACTGTGTTGTATGTGGAAATATTAAAAGTAGAGCACAGGGACAAAGAATAGAAAACATTTTAAGTGAAATGTTTGTGTATCAAGTTGAAAAATGGCAGAATGTCCTAGTCATTAAACTAGCATCTTGTTACTGAATAGAATCCCCCGAGAAGTCCCAATTGAATACTTCATTAGTTTATCTCATGGACTTGTCTCAGAGGGATTGTCTTAATTGTAATTAAGTAAGAGGACTCAGTCTACTTTGGGCATTGCTGTTCCCTGGTCTTGTGGTCCTGGAATCTATAAAAATGTTGTCTAAATAATTGCCTCTGAGAGGCCAAGTGGGGGCTCCTCAATAGTTTCTTAGTTCCTGCTTGAGTTTTTGTCATGACTTCTCTCAATGGTAGGCTTTGAAAAAGTGTACTTCGATATATATTCCTGGCCTTTTCCTGTCAAATTTGTTTTCTGTCTTCTATAATGTGAGCTTTCCTCCTCTTCCATACATCTCCAATCTTCATTACAGTCTATATAGATCCATTAAATCATGTATCAAGCCCTCAAACCACAAGCCACAATAATCTGTCTTCTCTTTGTATCACATGATAATTGAAACAGAGTGATTTGTAGTAGTCAGTTTTAGCAAAAGGAAACAAAACACCCTAAATTTGTGTTGGTACCAGATACCCACTTAAAAAAAAAAGACATTAGATTAAAACAAAATAGTGGATGAAGACCTCTTTGCCATTAGTAAAAAGAGTTGTATGTTTATTGGAGCATTAGTTTCAGCATTCAGTACATGGGAGACACAGACATGCAATAACAGGTAAATACATTGTGAAATTGTGGCAGTCACACATAGCATGTTATTCCTCAACTGTTAAAAATGAGGAGTTCTTGTCCATGGTTACAATATGTATGGTGTTATGTTTAATACTTAGGCCCTAATATTTGTATAATCTCTTAAAACAGAACTGCTAGCTGGACAACAAGCATTTAAAGCATAAGCCTATGAAGATTTTTGATACTCTGTCCATATGTTCAGACAGACTCATGATATGATAATGGTTACCAAACCTGTGCTGTAATAGAAAGTGGGATAACATAAAAAATATGAAGTAACAAATATACAAGTCGAAATAAAGATAATTTACAACATAAGATCTCTATGTGGTAAGAGTGCACTGCATTCAAGAGTTTTTTTCTAAAGCAGCTTTTTAGAGAAAAGGAATTTTAAATTATATGTATACATACACATATATGCATATATATATACATACACACATGTATGTAGGCAGAGGATCCTTATTCAATTCCCTGCCACCTAGACCCAAAATAGTAACACAGAAACTATATTAATTTCAACACTACTTGGCCAGTAGCTTAGGAGTATTTTATAGATAGCTCTTATATCTTAAATTAACCCATTTCTATTATTTTATATTTTATCATAAGGCTTGTGGTTTACAGGCATGGTTCCAGGGCACCTATCTCCTTCGGCAGCTACTGCCTGGCTTTACTCTGCTAATCTATTGACCAAAAGCAGCTTCTTTATTAACCAATGGCAATAAAACATATTCATAGCATACAGAGGGGAATTCCACATCATATATATTCAGTTTCACCCTTAATTTTACATTAAATTGGAAATATGTATAGTAATGACCTCCAACAGTTATGATCAGAGGAAACAGTGGGAACTCACAGAGGCAAGAAAGTATTTTGTATCTTGATTGGGTTTGGAGTCAAGTAGTTACATTTATCCAAGTCCATTTATTGAAATATGCATTTGTTTAATGTGCACATAGTACTTTTTCTTAATTATACTTTAAAGTGTCAAACACAGCAACATTTAAGATTGAAATATTATTTCACAAGAAATGTTATATCACTCAAGATAATATTTTCTAGGTTCAGCCCTTTATTGACAAATCTCATGATTTCTCTTTGTTTACAGTCGAGTCATATTCCATTGTGTATATGTACCACATTTTCACTATCCGCTCATCCAGTGGAAGACATTTGGCTTGTTTCCATTTCCTGGAAAATGTCAATAAGGCATCAGCAGACACTGGTGAACCAGTCTCTGTGGATTAGGATATTTAGTTATTTGGTCATATATCAATTGTATATCTGGGTCATATGGTAGATACAGTTTTAGTCTTTTGAAGATTCTCCATCCTGTTTTCCAGAGAAACTACACCAGTTCACATGCTTTCCAAAAATGAGTGTCGAGTCCACTTTCTCCACAACCTAGACAACATTTGGTGTCAGATTTTAAATTGATTTTAAGCACGCTGCTTGTCATGACATGAAATGTCAAAGTTGTTTTAGTTTGCATTTTTTCTCGTTGCTTAGGATGATAAGGCCTTTTCAAGATTTTATTAGCAATTTTTATTTATTCTCTTGAGAACTCTCTGCATAGGTCCCATACCAGTTTTCAAATGATAGTTTGTTTTTTTGACCCTTAATATTCAAAATTTTTTATATTATTCTGAGTATTAACCCTCTCTCTGGTGTATAACAGAAAAGGTTCTCTCCCATTTTGTGGGTTTCCTCTTTATCCGACAGATTGTTTCTTTAGCTGTGCAGAAGGTTTTTAGGTTTATGAAAACCCACTCATCAATTCCTTGCCCCAATCCTTAGCAAATGGAGTCCTGTCCATAAGAACAAATGCTTCACAGTCTCTCTTATTGTAGTTCCTAGCTCCAGATTCTAAGATGTGCATATACAACAAGTCAGAAAGGCATAAAGTGACCACATGTTGGGGAGCTTGGGAGGAAATATCAGGATAGAGATGATATAAGTGGGAAATGGAAAAATGGGGAGGGAATCTGTCTGGGGTGAAGGGTGGATGGTCAATATAGAAGGAAGAGGAGGGACGAGGACCAATAATAGGAAGGTTGCTTTTTTAATGCCTTAAGGCTTTGTAATATTTTATATTTCCTTGAAATTATACAAAACACAGGATTACATATATATCTGTGCACATATTTACATTTATACATGTAATATCTTTGCTGTGGTAAGTCTTCCATGGTTCCAGAAAATACTATACAAATTGCCAAGGGAAGGCAACAATTAAGTCATACCAAGCTTCAATATTCATGAAGGAAATGGGGATTGTGGGAATTTCGATTAATATCTCTTAACATTTAGCAAACAACTTGTGGAAAATAGGGTTATTTTTTATAGAATATAATATTCATTTAATATTTATCAAGTCCAATAACCAAAGAAATCCCGACCTTCCCTGCACTGCTTTGGGCCTTCTTTGGAGGGAAGGGTTTGTTTACAGTGGGAGTTGTCCTGGCTTCAAGAGATTTGGTTACAAAGATTACATCACAAGCAGATGCAGTGAGCCCACATAAAGCAGTTTTAGGATGCTGTAGTCAGTTTCTGTTTAACAAGCCCCATTTCACCCTATTTTTACAAAATGGCTGTTTTCTCAACCAATTGAAAAAGGTTGTGAAAATGGTCCCTTTAAATAGAGGCCATATTGATTCTCAGAATAACAGTGTGTTATCAAGGACTCACTCAACTACTACACCAGACTGTTTCCTGTTCCCCAGGATTTCTTGAAGAACCCCTTTCTTCACCTTCTTCCTCAGGAGTGTCCTGCATGGCTCTCTGCAGTAGTATCTTCAGAGTCTTCCTATGGAACCTGCGGTGCCTAACAGAGCCAACAATGAAGTAAATGATGGGGTTGGCACAGCTGTTAATGCAGGATACAAAAGTTGTCATTTCTTTAATATGGCAAGGGAAAACTTTGTGTAACTCCTCAATCCAATCTAAGAGGAACCAATAGATACCAAAGGGCAGACCAAAGAATAAGAAGACCAGCACCGTGAGGGTAATGGTCACACACAACCTGGTCACAGGAATTCTTCGTGAGCCACAGAAGATCCTGAACAACAGGGCCAGGCTGGATCCACAAAGAACCACAGATAATACTATCACAAATGCAGTAGTGATAAAATTATAACTCCTACACAAAGAATGGTTATAATAGCCAATAACTAGCAAGCCGCAATCATGCCCTAACAGGAGACTCAACAGTAGAGAGAAGGCCCAGAGCAGGGCACATATGACAGCTGATAAGTGTCTTGGTCGTTGGCAGTGATACCAGATGGGCCACAAAACAGACAGACAGCGCTCAGCACTGATGGCCGCAATAATACACATACCTGCAAGGTTAGCAAAGATTAATACATTTATGAGATAGATGGGAATATCGAAGTAGATGTCATAGAAATGAAGAAGGATACGTTCCAGGGAATACACAGTCTGAAAGCTGAGGAAGAGGAAGTCAGCCCCAGCCAGGTTGAGGACATAGACAGAGAAGGCATTCCTTTGTATGTGAAAGCTCAGAAGCCACAGCACTATGGCATTTACTGCCAGCCCAACCATGGCAATGCCAGCTTTAAGAATATTCAGGATAATGGGGATGGAGTCAATACAGGGTAAGTTTTCAGTGTAGTAAGTTTCATTCATTGTTGTGTTGTCTGTGCTCCAGGCTGGGGTGGTTGGATCCATGCTTGGTAATTTTCCATTAGCGTTCCTGCAAAGTAAACTGAGATATGAACACATGATACTTTCTGTCAACACCACCTGGCTATGGCGGGGTGTCTGGCACAGGTTCATAAGGAAGGGGAAACAGGCTTGCAGAGATGAGGCAATTTATCAAAACTCCTAAATTCTAGAAACTTCTTTTAAACCCAGTTTTTACTATTCAGTCTATCTGCAGAGCAATGCCTCTAGTGATATTGGGGTAGCTGATGATACCAGTATATTTGCTAAGCATCTTATGCTGTGTTAGGAAGAGACGGAATTTCAAAACTAAATTTCATGCTGTTCCAGGGCTGAGGTTCTTTCTCAGGTGTATGAATATGAAAGATCCTGGCCAAGCAATAGCTGTACTCAGTCTCTGTAAGGGGTCTATTAAATGAGAAAAATCGAATAATGAAATATGGAGATCTGTGTGTGAGCAGTCACAATTCTTATACTAGAAGGGCTAAGCCTTCATTTTACAATATGAAAACTAGAAGGCAGAGAAGCCTTGAAGGACGTGAGGCACTCTTCTGTTTGGAATTATGTCACCATTATCCTGTTATCTATAGGGTTACAGTGGAAAGTTAAGAACTATGACAAATGCACAAATGAACCACAGTTTCAAGGGCTGTTGAAAATTTGTAGTAAGTGTTCTGGTTGTTACTTGTATTTCATGCAAAGGGCCAGGTCTCTGACATGAAAAGTGTGGACTGTGCTGCAGAAAAAATAGAGAGCTCCTTATTTGAAAATAGTGTCCCAACCCCCGAGAAGAGGTTTGAGGTCTATACGTGCACACAAATGCTCTGGAAAAGAGAGCAGCATAGCTGGGCAGGTAGCATCTAAATAGAGATTTCTTTCCACCCCACTCTTCCATACAGACATCCTTAATAGGCTTCTATTTCTCACACCTAAAGCCACACAGACATCTGAAGAAAAGACAGCTTTTCTTTTCCACACTGGGCAAGGCTGCAGAATAAGGTCTGTTCCTGTGCTTGAGGTAGCTTAGCCTGAACAGTATATACCTAGGCAGCTTTGCATTACAGGATTTTCTGGATAATTTCTTCATGAAAGAGAAAACACCTGAGAGTGTTGAGACAGAGATCCAGGATCAGGGAAAGCATGCAGAAGGCATAAAACCTAACCTCACACTTGGTCACCCAGCACACACGATTGTCTTCACCAAGATTGTACTGTTCATTCTTGAAGCCTTGATGACCCCATAGGAACACAAATTTTTCATTTGGGGGACCATCTGGGGCATCAAGTAATTTGGGATTCCCCTCTGTATTCTGTGAATACCATTGGTTAATAAAGAAGCTGCTTTGGGCCTATTAATAGGACATAACTTAGGTAGGTGGAGAAAACTAAACTGAATCCTGGAAGGAAGGAGATGGAGTCAGAGAGAAGCCATGGAGTCTCTGCCAGAGATATACATGCTGAAACTTTGCTGGTAGGCCATGACATCATGGTGATGCACATATTAATGGGGATGTGTTAAATTAAGATGTAAGAGTTAGCCAATAAGAAGATAGAGCTAATGGGCCAAGCAGTGATTTAATTAATACAGTTTCTGTGTGATTATTTCAGAGCTAATTGGGCAGGGATCAACAAGTAGCTCTCTCCTCCTACAATCAACAGCTTAAAATAGGCAGACTGGCACTGGGTAAGCAGCCAGCCCCCCTAAATTGAGTTCGCTGATGATAGGAGCATGACAGTAGTGGGTACAATTGCTCACTAATGGGCATTTGCTTCATGAAATGGAACCAGGAAGCAAAATGGGATCATTTCAGCTTCAGCTCTCATTGTGACTGGTTTTGCTAGCCAGTGTTTTTCTAGTCAATGGAAGATAGTGGTGCTGAGGGAGACGTGAACTGTGGGGGCCTGGCTCAGGAGGTTTTAGAGAAGAAGAATGTTAATATGTGGCCAAGAATCGCTAATTTCTGCCCTTGTCCAAAATATATGCCCGAGTCCAAATGGAAGAGTTTTTGATTAATTGCATTGACAGAGGCCCTCTCAAAACAGCCTTGTATCAACTCTGTCCTGTAGTTATTAGAGTTCACTCTTATGAAGAGCTAGAATGAAAAGAGCAAGTTGAGTAAGAAAACCTACAAAATGTACAATTTGAGGAGAAAAGGGCATCAGGAAGTGGAATGGAGCTAAGTCCTGTGTTCAAGGATATAAACAAATTAAAGACTGATATTAAAAGAAATAATGGATGGGACTGCTAACCTCAGCTAAGTTTCCAAGTTGTGAAGAAGAAATAAAGAACCACTTAGATCCAAACATGGTGGTATATGGCCTTCCCCTCAGCCTCAGCATTCAGGAGACAGATAGGTGGATCTCACAGTTCAAGGTCAGCCTGGTCTACAGATGGAGATTCTGGATAACCAAGATTAGGCAGTGAAGAAACTATAAAAGTCAGAAAACTAGTGAAGTTATAATTGAATGAGGGGGTCATGCTATAGCCTTAGCAAGCTGTAGAACTTGGCAGCTCTGGCCTTGTGGTTCCAGCTTTAGCATCAAGTATAGAATAAAGGTTATAGAATCTCCCTTTGCAAAATCAGAAAGTATCTGAGGCCAGGCGTGGGTCAGGGATGTTCCTGAATGGAGGTTAAGAGAGACCATTGTGTGAAGCTGTGAAAATGTGAAGCCTGGATTGCTTCACGAGATATTGGAGATGTTAGAGTGTGGGATGCCTGCCAAGGAAAGCTGCTAATGGGGAGTTGAGTTGAATTAGCCCAAGAACAAGAAGTGTGTTGTAGTCAACAAAGCTTAACAGAACTGGAGACCTGAAGAGTGTTTTGACATTGAACACGGAGAGGAAATTTTTAGAGTTTTCCCAGCTTGTTTTCCACCTTGATTTGGCCCAGTTTTTCCTCACTATGCTACCTTTCTCCCGTTTTGGAACGGTAATGCGTATCATGTACCATTTTATGCTGGAAGTATGAAATCTCCACTTTCATTTTGATTTTTCAGGAGTTTTAGTTAAAAGATTTTTATGAGTCTTGGAAGAGACTTTGCACTTAAGAACAAGTTTGACACTGTTATAGGCTATGGGCACTTCTGAAATTCTACTAAATGCACTTTGCATTATGACAAAGATAATTTGTTAAAGATTCTTTTTTTACATTACATAATTTTAGTTTCTTTGTAAAAAATCAGGTGTTCATAGGTGTGTGGATTATTATCAGGGTCTTCAATCTGATTCCATTGATCTATGTTCCAGTTTTTATGTCAGTATAAAACTCTTTTTATTACTATAGCTCTAGTGTAGAGGCTGATGCCTCTGGAAGCTCCTTTATTTACATTATTGTTTTGGATACACTAGTTTTTTCATATGAACTTGGGTATTGTCCTTTCAAGGTCTGTGAAGAATTGTGCTGGGATTTTGATGGTGATTGCATTGAATCTCTAGATTGCTTTTAGTAAGATTGCCATTTTTACTATGTTGATCCCTCTTATCCAAGAGCATGGGAGATTGTTCCATTTTCTGATATCTTCTTAAATTTCTTTCACAAGGAATCCATAAATATGACAGCAGCTAAGACTCTAAGCAATAGTGGAGAGGATGCCTGAACCGGCCTTCTTCTGTAATCAAATTGATGACTACCTTAATTGTCATCATAGAACCTTCATCCAATAACTTATGGAAGCAGATTCAGAGATCCACAGCTAAGCTCTGGGCTGAGCTCCCAGAGTCCATCTGAAGAGATGGAGGAGTGATAATATGAGCAAAGGGCCAATACCATGATGGGGAAACCCACGGAAACAACTGATCCAAGCTAGTGAGAACTCACTGACTCTGGACTGACAGCTGGGGATCCTGCATAGAACCAAACTAGGCCCTCTGAATGTGGATGACAGTTGTATGGCTGGGGCAGTTTGTGGGGCCAATAGTAGTGGGATCAGGATTTATTTCTAATGCATAAACTGACTTTTTTATCCCATTCCTTATGGAGGGATACCTTACTCAGTCTAGATACAGGGGTGAGGGTCATAGCCCTGCCTCGATTTGATGTGACAGACTTTGTTGACTCCCCAAGGGAGGCTTTACCCTCTCTGAGGAGTGAATGGTGGGTGGAGTGGGGTCCCATCCCTCCCCACACAAAAGTGAGAACTGACCCTGAATGCCTGAGTGTAGGGGAGCTGGCTCCACCCCTTACCTGAGAGAAGCCTGGACTGACCAGCTCAACTACCACCCAGGCCCACAGCTGGACCTGGGATGGTCCTCCCATAACATCTACCCCATCTAGGACCTGTTGGAGTCAACTTTGTTGACTCCCCATGGGAAGTCTTATTCTTTCTAAGGAGTGGAGAGGGGTGGGGTGGAGGGAAAGGTGGAGCAGGAAGAGGGGGAAGTGGGAATGAGGATAGTTATGTAAAATGAGAAAAGATTATAATAAAAAATTCTTAATAAAAAAGGAAAGAAAAACATCCAAATTTAAATTTTAAAGGGTAAAAATTCTCTTTATATCCTTTATTTAAAAACCATATAGCCTAGAAATGTCTCAGTGCATCAGATGGTGATGATGGAATGTATTTATATTCTCATCCTCAGAGTGTGTGAGACCTTGACATTGTCCAATCATGAATGTGTGCACACATGCAAATCTTTACAGCATTAGATGATGAATCACATGTAAATTGAAATGGGAAATGTGACAAAAGTTACTAACCAGCACTGCAAAGTGATAAAGAATTCTCAATAATCCTAACTCTTTTTGTCAACAGCCCTGAGTTGACTAATTATTTTTAATGACTCATGTGTGGACAAATCATTGATGTTGCTCATGGGCGGGACATTGTGGTAAAAACCCAACTCAGCTTAGTTAAGCAGCAGGACACACTTAGGTGCACAGCCTAGAGATGGATGTGGTTCTGAGATGACTGCTATGCAGGGGAAGGAGCCAGAAGGAAGGGAAGCTGAAGTCTAAGTACTGTTGCAGAAAGGGAACGGAAAATGGATGTGTCTAATGTGGGACTGCTAAGTGGAGTGCAGA